TACCAAACAGACATTCCTGCGCAACAATATGCGAATATAATATACGCACAAAAGCGACAAAACTAATGGAACAAATAGAAAAAACAGCTGATTACTTACTCTGTTTGAGCAAAAACAATAAATGCAAGCTTGACAATAACGATAAAGGTCACATAAATATAACAATTGCGTTTATCCTCACTCTGATGAAAGTCCAACATGGCGTCATTGTTTTCGTTTCCCAGAGTTTGATCACAAGAGGCACCTTGGTTTTATTAGCAAATGTTCTTCTGTCACGATCTGTCCACATTTAACTCATTTGATTTCTGGTTTGATTCCAGTGAGACCTTCGCTAAATCACCTGATTCTTTTGCTATTTTGAGTTCGCGGAACGACCCGTTTCGAAATATACGCTCATTACACACGCCATCTTTTAGAGTGGGTCTACTGCGAAAAGTGAGTGGGTCTGTATGCTTGAGCGTTGAAAAGATGACACCATCTGTTAACATAATCGACACATCTGCCATCTTCGGCATCGTGGAAAGAAGGGTGCGCCGTTATTAGGTGTCTGCGGTATTTCCCATTGCACGTGACGTGGCTTTGAGGAGAAATACGAGGGTAAACCTATATATTCGGTTGTCCGACTAATGAAAACATTAGCTGGTCGTCTACCTTCGTTCTATTCATCTAATAAACTTGGATTTATATTTACCAGCCATTCCGACTCTTCGTCGCCAGAAATATGATTCAAATTGTCCGCCAATTTTTTTTTTCTTACCTAAATCCAATTTTTCGCTTGCGCGTTACGAGAAAACCTGTCTAACCGGTTCTCTGGAGTACAAATACCGCATGGTATCTGTACTCGTCTATGGCGTTATTTGTACTCTACGGAGTGCAGTTGGATGAAGAGCTGTTTTTTTTCATTAAATTCTCTTAGCAGGAAAGCGATGAAAAATATAAAACTGAGTCTATATATTTGAGGGAGAAAGTTCACATACGGGATTATATTTGACAAAAACCTTTCTTAATACGGAAACGTGAGTAGACGATCTGCGATGTAAAAAAGCACTTATACCCGAGGTGATTCAATATCCGGAATTTGATAACAACCACACAACGTAAATTGATCAGATTGTGATGTGGAATACTTGTGTTTTTGACAGAAATAAGAATAATATTCAGCTGTTACAAGCATCATGTAGCACCAGAAGCAAGTGTGTTGATGAACAATCCGGATTCCTACATATCTCAATTCAGCTTCGTATATATGTCTTTTCTTCTTAATCGTAACCATCAATCAACCCGTGCAACTTGATCAGCTCAGTTCTAATGGTCTGTTGTGTTGCAATAATAAAAGGGCGTCGCTTTGAGGCATTTACCATTCAACCGTTCTGCTTCATTTTGGGAAACATACAATGTAAATAGAATGGCGCCTTAAATTTTAATAGTCTCGTAATCGACTCTTTGCTTATGTTTCACTCTACTTCCTGCTCCATGTCACTTACCGCTTACTTATCCAGAAAATGCAGGAAATGGGTTTTTCCCAAGGGAACCCTATATCTCCCAAGGAATTACATATTTTCACCTATTATTTTCACACATTTATTAACTCATAATACTTAGCATTTGTGCCAAGTTTGAGCCAAATCAGTGATTTGAGCTTTATCGCCCCCCTGCCCTGTTTTCTCGTGGACACGCTCCTGAAAGCATACCAGAAAGTTTAGATATGAAACGAAAATCAAACAAAGTAGAAGTGAATAAATACACATCCATATACGAACATTACAGAACCTCAAGGAATTTTTCTATATAACAGAGTACAGAGTGGTTATTTAGTTTTACTGTAATCTCAATTATGTTAATCCTGCCTCTACTTTTAATTGTATATTGCGCAATTTGTATATAACTCAGTTTGATTTATTTCTAATTGCAATTGATGTACTTTAACAGGGAAGAGCCACCTAGTGGATCTGTTAATGAACCACTATTATAATCATTATTGTAACATATAGTTGGAAATTTAACCGGTAAGGGGCTAATTCTGGCGAGCCAGACAGAGGGAGTTCAATCCCAGTTTATTCAACCTAATCATCCACATGACCTACACTCAGTATCCGGTTGTATTACAAATACCTTCTGTAGAAGGTGTTCTTGATCTCAAAGGCTCAGCCTCTGAGTAAGTGTCCTTCCGCTTACTTTCCTGAAAGCAAATCTATACTTAACCCTTGGTTTCACCGACAACAGCGTTTAATGGCATTAAATGTTTTGGAACCTGTTTTGGTTTGATCTGAATCTTAGGTCTCTCCTTATGCGTTTTCAGTTCCTTTGCGGCTTTGTTCTTAAGTTGTTTGTTTATTTTGCTGGTGACCTTGAATTATATTTCTGTAAAGTTTCGATCTGGATATTGGCTGATTCAAAAGCTTTAGAGGGGATTTAGAAAGGGCCAAATGAAACAGGTATTGCATACAAGTAAAATTCATGATGCCCTCTTTAAAGGCAACTCGAAATTTATATTTCGTTGAGGAAGTTGTGTTCAAATTTGCTCTCTGTGCGTTCAGAATATTATAGGTAATCAGAGCATCAGAGCCCGGGATCCTAGGATTCTTTCCATTGTGAAGAAATCAGACTTTTTCATTGTTTACACCACTGACAAACTATATAACAGCCCTCTCTTCCCTCTACCTAGATAGACACAAAGGCTTCATAATGGGCTACTATAAGCACAAACACATCAAGAGAAAACAATTTGCATCTAACTGACTACGTTCCATTTTTTCGCAAAGTTACTACTACAGAATCCAACTTGGAAGACAACTCCAAATTTCCCATGAAGACTCTGCACACTAAGTCAGTAGACGCTCTCAGGTCAACTGAAAAGACCGCTCAGTGGAGATAAATGCATTTTATTTCGCCACATATTTCCTAAGATATCAATCATTACAGATCACTTTAGCGAATCGAAACCATTCAAGTCATCAAACAGGTCATAACTGGATGCTCGCAAGCTAACTCGCCAGAGAAAAATGCGCAATGAACTCAAACGAGAAGTAACTCGTTTAAAAAATCATCTCGGTCCGTAGAAACTTTACGGCTTGGATTACAACGGGATCATGATAATTTGGATCTAGGCGATAAACATTCGTTTCTTGATGCGACAAGTGTCTCTTTGTAATTTAGAATTCAGAACCCTTGAGCTTTAACCTTTAAGCCAGCCTGACAGTCACTTGCTTTGTTTTTCCATTTTACGCTCATCTGTTTCGCATTATCAGTAAAAAAAACGAGAATCAGATATTTGTCATGATGACGCATTTACTTATAGTTACAACTTTCCTGTACAATGTGTGATCAGTGGTTAATTCTCATTGAAGCCATCTTTCTCAATGGGCTGACTTATAAATTTTACTTCCTGATTGACACTATAGTTGTCACGTTTCATTTCCACCAACAGAACGAAAACTTTCATTCGGAAACCTTTCACTACTTTTTAGTTTCAAGTACGTAGCATGTAGCACGGAGAGACTTAACTCAAAGCACCTACAGCTGTGACCGCCTTAGAGTCTGATCTTTCAGACTAATGGAACGCAGCTGACATAGAAACACTTACTGCCTTTTTTAGTGGAAGTGACTTACCCGTCCTACAAGTCGGTTGAATAACTGTAGTCGTTCCCCTAAAGAAGCTATCTCCAAAAGCATTTTAGCCAAGGCGTCTGAAAGGCGTTTTAATTTATCGTCGAGGCCCTCGAAACAGCTCTCATAGAAGAAGACTTCTTGGCGATCGGCCAAAACGAACCGCGTTTTGTCCCTTGGATCTTGCTGGAGTATCGTTCCTCTTTCTAATTCTTCGCCTGTCAACAATTTAGAAGTACGATAATCTTGTCCCTTAATTAGGGTAATATTCTCAATGAGAATATAATGGACATTTACGCTGGATTTGTTGGTGGCATCGCTACGTAAGCTTAGATGAACACAACTTTCGGCCTTTTTAAGCTGATCTTCGTCCACAAGACACTGTTTGAGTTTATGGTAGTCCTCCTCCTTAATTATGGTTCTCAGTTTCACTTCACTCAGAGAAAGCCTTTTCAAAACTTCCGAAGTAAAAAGTATCTTCTCAGCAACTGTATTAAGGTGGCCGCTACAATAGTCTTTCCATAATCCCTCAAGAATTTCCAGTGAACTGCAAGCAGCGGTTATGGACAAACTTCCCGAACCGTAACTCAATATGCGGAGTTTAAGCTGGCTCGATAAGTAATCCAGAAGCAACCTAAAGGATTCTTTAAATGACAGAATGACTTTCCAGATGTCAGGCTCTTCTGATGGATTCTGGTCACCTCCTTGATTTTCTCCAGATGTTGCTTCGGCAACTGCAAATTGTGGTTGCTGCTCTGGTATGGACAGCGAGGTCATACCTGCAGATCGGGGGCCCGAATACAAATGGGCTAAGGGTTGTCCTCTGCGGGAAAAACTCTCCAGCTCGAAGGTAATTAGAAGGTCTAGAGCGCACACAAAGGTAACTTTTAATTCCGTTAAAAAACAATCTTTTTATGTAAATGTGATGCACAGTGATACTGCCTCGATCAATCCAAAACTTCAACATCCTGACGGGCAATCCCTCCCCCCCTTAGGCATTTGAACTTTTGATGACTGGTATTTTTCAAATTCCTGCCCCTCAGGGCCAAAATTATGTTCAAATTCCCAACCAAAGTGCCAAACTGTTGATGGTAAATATTTTTAGAAAAGGAAAAATTAGCGACCATTACTTTTTACCAATTGACCAAGCCTTGCAGATCTTTTCGTCTGGGCCATTCGCTCACAAAAGTGGACTCTTCATCTTTAAATACTTCCAAATTAAAAGACGAAACACTAGTATTCCGATTTAAATGCCCTCACCAGCCTAGCAAGGTTCAAATTCCTCACCCTCACGCACAGACGACGGTTAAATGAACCAGGGTTACTCAGGATGAAGCCTCGAATTGATCGGCGCATAACTCGGTGAATCACAAGTTAGAGATATTCAGAAAAAAATTTCAATTACATAGACACTGCCAAAAAATCATCATTCAGCGTGGGTAGAAGAAAGTTATTAAGGAGATCACGGAGTTTTAAAAGAAAAAAAACCCTTGAGGGTCGAATTTTGGGTAAAATTTTTCATTATTTTTAGTCCACACTCCGATTTTGGTATCCGTGTTACCGATTGCGTAAACCAGCCACGCACTTCTCACGGTCCGTGATAATAAAACAAAGCGCGTGAAGAAAGATCGAGCTAAGGAGAATGGAGATTCTTTTTTCTCAATTCTTTATTCATTTTTAGTTTGTTAGTAGTACTAGTACCAGCGCTCAGGTTGTCGAAAGTTAAGTTACCACCACTGACAACAATCCTTCTCAGGACTACGCCCACCCGGACGATCAGGCCACAATATCACATGTTACCCTCGGGTTTAAACCATTTACTGTAATAAGGTATTTGAAAGTTCAAATTTCATCGGAGGGAAAATTTAATGTGCATTGTATTGTGCTGTTTCTCCATAGGCGCGCGGAGCACTTCGGAATCATTAGGCAAAACCTTACCTTTCTGCCTCATTTCCTCTTGTTTTTCATGAGTAACAATTGTCCTATAAAATTATATTTTTCACTCTGGACCAACGGCGGAATGATTAAACCAATTTGAGTCAAATTACAAGGGGATAAATAGTTCCCTTTTACGCGGCTGGTCGTTCGCATTATCACCGCGGGAGACGAGTTTTTCCAACTACGCACGAGCACGCAGCACCAAGGCATGATGCACAGCCCATGTGCGCATTGGCGATAGCAGGCACCGTCCTTTTCGTTTAGAGTGGCCAAAGTTTATTATTAATTTATTCGTGTTTTTCTCGTTGCCATTTTCCCACTAATAACGTAGCTCCATTTTCTGCCTTTAAAAGCACACACAACCCACAATTCCTCTTTTCGCTCCGACAAAGGGCTAACGCTCGAAACGTCAGCTTTTGTAATCGTTACGCTGGCCAATTTACCATTTCAACTTTGTTGATATATTCAAATTGTTAAGTAGGAATAGTCCGTAAACATCAACTCCACCTTTGGCATGATTTGGAGGGTTTCTTAATTCCCGCTGCGAGTTCAAGGTTATGATCGAGTTCAGTTCCGCGTGAGAGGCTTTGAAATCATCTAAATACTATTTCAGATAAACTTACCTAACTTTTCATTTACTTCCTGAAACTGATCTTGGAGTTGATCTTTAACTTCCATGTCTTTCTTGTACCACAATTCAAGTTCTTCAACGAAACTTTGGGCTTCTGAAGTCAATGGGTCAGTTAGCAGTTTTCCAATAGACTTTTTCCATTCATCCGTCTTCCCTGGGCCGTGGTAATTCGCAATTCGCAGAAGAGCTTCACTAATTTCCTTCCACAGATTACAAAAGTCAGAGTCTGAGACTTCCATTTTATGGTTGTGGCCGTATATGGAATTGCGGTAAAATTTTATCCGCGCGAGATCTGCTTCAAAACTGCGGTCTGCGCTACTTGGCAAACTGTCCCATCCAGTGACAGGAGGCGTGAGGTTACATATTGTTCTTAGCAATCGGAAAGTTAAAGTAATATCAAACTCGATGGACTTGCCAAAGGTACCAGTTAGAGGATAGAGGCAGCTCCACTCTGCTCTGGAAAGCTTTGCTTTCTTCAGCTGTGACCTTGTCGCAGGGTCGCCAAGCTTTAATGGAAGGTCTTTAGGTGGATGTATTGAATCAAAGGTTTCCCTAAGGAGCCTGACTCCTCCGCACATCAAAAGTCGCGTTAAACGCTGAAAGTTTTCTTTTCCATTTGTGGAACACAAAGCCTTTTCTGCATCGGTGACAGAAGCCATGTTAATGACGTTTATCAACTAAGCTTTCCTGTAAGGTAAGGTCAGCGTATGTCATTTGAATAAGCCGGGCGTTTGTCTTGTCCAAAGCAGCGGAAAGCTACTGAGGTATGACGCAGAAGACCCACGAGAACATCAAAAAACTGAAGAGATAAGCACAACAATAATAATGATAAAGAAGGCAACAATTTTAATGATAACGACAGAAGTCTACATCACAAAAGTGGTATCTAGTGGAGCTCTCCAGAACCATCAAATGGATCAAATTAAAGTTTTCCTCAAGCTTCGCCCTCGGAAAACTGTTTGCATCTAGGAACAGATAAATATCATCATATCTTTTGGCTCGCTAGATTGGTCTAAATGCAACTGATCTAATCCCGTGAACGAATATTTACCGCTTAAAACTAGGGGCTACGTATCCTAAGTGATATTTTCCACTGCGAAAGTTTTCGTTTTTTAACCGAAAAACTGCCCTTTCGTCGTAAATTAATGTTTAAAAAAAGTGAAAATGCATTATTTTTGTAGTTAAGAATAAGTAAAGTGTCCTCTTATGATCTCTTGATGGTGGTGTAACTGGTCTGGGACTTTGGCACGACATATAACTTGCTGCTATTTGAAATATCCAACGGTTCTTGGTTTTCTTAAACCTACTCTTCCCGGATTTAGTCTCAAACTCAGTTTAAATTCAAGGGTGAGCGAGAAAGTCAACGAGAACTGCAGTGTAACCAGGGGATCGGTAGTAAACAACAAAAAGTCTGTAGAAATCAGACGATAACGCCGCTTCTAATTGGTCTAAAATAGAAATATCACAAACAGTTTTTCGCGAACTGAATACAATCAAAAAGAAAACTGTAGGTTGGATGGTTTGAAATGGGACGCTAAGTAAATGGTGTTTGCATTTTTGTAAAAGAAAAAAATCTTTTTTTCCTGAGGAATCTATCTTCAGTGGAGAGCAAAAACACCACCTCCCAGTTTACGGTATTGTCACTGTTGTCTGAAAAATTATCAGCAAAAACAAACTTCAATGGTGCCACGTCTCCTGTAGTGTCCCTCACAGCCGTTGTTCGGTCTCGTCACGCCGAGCGCGCTCTCTCTCCTCCCATTGTTTTGACGAGACCAGACAACTTCCTTCTCGCAGACTAAGACCATGCTTACTGCCGCTCCTTAGTCAGAGCCTTGATCAAAATTATTCAGTTTCAGCTGCTTGCCTCAAAAATATTCTTCAAGATAATTTTGTTATGGGCTCCTTCAGTTATTTGTTGCCAATCTGGATTTTCCCCCATGCGTGTGGAATACGTAGTAAAATGTAGCTTGTTTACAAGGAATTGATGCGTGATGAGGTGAAGGCCAGGGTAGCTAAAAGACAATTTGATTGGTAGAAAGTGTCTAAACACGCGAGAATTGCGTGGAAAATTGATGACAGTAGCATTTGCTTTCAAGTATCATTTTTTTCATTTGGGCAGGATTATGTCGTAAAATTTATGTTGTTTACTAGAAAGAGCATTCATCTAACCAATAGTGACAAGTAAGCACGAAATTGTAGCGGGAAAATTCCGTTTGAAAGAAGATGTAATTTATGGAGAACTTCTAACATGTCAGTCGACACAGAAAACAAATATAAAACTTACTGATCTTTACAACTTTCGCCTTCGAGCAATCACAAGGAAAAGACGAGCTTGAGATTATCGATCAAATATTCTTTATACAAGTGCTTTGCACAATTTTTGCCTGAGTCAGCAAAACTAGCCCTTTCAATGTTAGGCTTCTAGCTGACAGCGTGTGTATTGCAAGCGAAGGAGTGCTACCCAAAACACGTTTTGGCAGGAAAATTCCATGATCACCTTTCTAACCCCTACAGATTATGCCGACAGAGTCATCACGAAGGACACGAGCCATTACACTGTGTAGATAAGCTCACAATTCTTTATTAATATGTCATTTTGGTGAGCGTCAATTTTGGATTAATTCTATCTCAACATACTGCGAGACCCTAATTCCATGATATGATTGGCACGAGGGTGATTTGTAGGAGATATATACCCTATTGTGGCGATCTGATAGGTGCGAGATACATACCCTAATGCGATGATCTGATTGGTGCGAGAAATATACAATTCGATGCGCTAACATAGAGTTGTTTTATTGAAAAAAAAATAACTCAAAAAGTGCCAGTCAGCGCAAACCAGAACTGAGGCCTCCACACTGTAGGGAAGAACATACAGTTTTTAATATGCTAAGATACACTACATCTGATGACGTCCTACTCAGATGTATTCAGTGGCCTTTTTACTTCATAACTGGTGTGTCTAAACGATAATAATGCTGCGCCACATTCTGTTAATAGTGACCTAATTTACGCAGTGACTCATCTACTTGAGAGTTCCAGGACTTAAATTGAGAAAAATATCTCTTAAGTTATTTTCTGGGGGAGAGAGAAAAAAATTCTAAAAACAGAGAAAAAAACGCGCGCACAGAAGAAAAATTTTGCCTTTTGTAACACAATCTCATCCGGCTTTAACAAACCTGAAGAACACACGGTTTGGGAAATGACCGTCTTAAAAACCCTTATTATTACACCGCGAAGGAAAGTCATGGAGAGATATATTGATAAGAACTTAACTTTTAGAGCAGAAAATTTAAAAGTGCTAGCGAATGGCAGCAGTCGCAAAGGCCAACCACACCTCTTTCGCTTTCCGGCTTACAGGCGTGTCGAGTTACACAAGGTAGAGTTATTTGTTGATCAAGTGACTCCTTTCATTGCTCTTATTCAACTGTCCTTCATTCAGAGATCAAGATAGTAAATTCAGCATACAATACTCGCGATTAGTTAATTTTCCTCTGCTTAGAAAAGTAAATTAACAGCACGCTTTAGTACCTTTGGGAAATTTCCTTACAGTACTAGCGCTACCCAATACGCTAGACACAACAATCGTGGCGCAGTGCACTCTGGTTAACAGCTACAATGCATTCTGGTAAAAAGGGATGTATTCGAGAATTCGCATCCATTTTTACTTTTCCAATCCCGATTGGCATGCTGTTAGCTCAGTTAGGCTCACTGTATGGCAAGGAGTTAGATCTCCTCAGGTTTTTCAAAAGGCCTACAGCAGGTCTTCACTTGATGTGCTATCCAAGACTATATGTCAATACCTCCTTTACAATTATGTCACTCGAGAACACGTCTCTCTCTCTCCTTCAATCAAGGTTAGATATAAACTTCTGAAATATTCACTCGCATGTAGAAGCTTATCTTATCATTAAATGCTGTTATCTACCGCGACGAGAAGACAATCGGCTGACAATTTTTGATCATCAGTAAGCGGCAGAATATTAGCAGTTTTACCCCTATGATATAAACTGAGGCTGATGTTTCATCGGGGCTGGCAGACAGTTGAGAAATTATGACAGATACACTCTGACCTAAGGAGTGAAAAATTGTTTTATTTCCAGCGAAAATATCATTTCCCTTTAAGCTTCACTTTAAATTCTCTTATGTAAACAAAATGTTTTACGCAAGTTAATACAAATGACGTAAGCATCCTACGTAAACTTTGGCAAAACTACAGAATGCAGGGCCACTTATTTACATCTCATTGAATCACAATGCATCCTTTTGTTTTCTGCCTCGTTCTTCAAAACATGCCGACAAGGTGGACCTCAATGGCCCTGTATTGAACTTTAGTGAGCTATCACGGGGGCTGAGTAGTTTTGTCGCAGGTTTTTTATGCCTTTCTAGCTGGATTACGTACATTTGTTTTTGGCTCTTTCTCCCACATATTTCCCATTGCGTTACCATAATCACGAAGGCGTATTTCCGAAGTCGTATGCAAATTTTGGTACTTTCGAAAACTTTATGACCTCTATGGTTTGATTGTAGTAAGTTCAAAGTCGAGATCGCTTCAAGATTTGATTTAATTTCTGTAGGTTAAGACATTCGCACATTCGTTGAACTGGAATGGAAATCATATACATTCCGCCTACATTTCACAAGTTTTATAGGGGTGCCAACAGTCGAGAGAGACATGCTTCTCCTTTTGATAAACAACGACTAGCCGTTTAATTTGCTCAGAATTTGAATGAGTGTGAATAAATCAACGTTAACGGATCTAATAATTTGTGCAGTTATTCTAAGATAGAATTTGATTGTGCTTTGTCCTTCGGGGATATGAAAGTATAAATAGATTAGAAACAGTTCGTTTGAGCATAATAGACCTCTATCAGAAATATAAGCCGCTAGCAGAGCGTTGAAATTTAAGAGACATGTACAATTTCCGGCGTAGTTCACATACCTGTTTCCCACTAAAATCATTTTTGTGCATTCAACCTCGATCCTAGCCATACTCTATGGGTATGAAAAAGCGTAATTTCCTATGTTACCTAAATCTGAACACCGGAGTTGTCACTTCGCAGGACTATCGGTAGGAATCACAATTTTGTTCATTTCGAGAAGGATTAAGAGTGCAAATTAGAGAATTTGTGATGAGAAAATTAATTGAATGGTGTAAACTATCCTCCGCTTAACAAAGTAGAAGTAAACGTGTGGAAAGTCGAAGTGGAAGATAGGAGATAGGAAAGGATATTGATGTATATATTCCTATTCATAACTTGTGATAACGACAATTTCTTTGCTGTTATCTTTTTCCTGCTCGCTTCCCTGATGATTGTTGCAGATGGAACTTGCAAACCCAAACCCTCACTATCCTTTCGAATGACACAGATCATTGTCGACTCGATATATAGATGGATAGAAGGAATTTTTTCCCCTTAAATTGAGCAACGTTAAGTCTAAGTTACTTTCCGAGGTCACCGCTCAAGAAGCAGGAGAACAGACAAGATTGCTGAGTTTATTACTTAATTTGTAGAAGAATGCACTCACCCTTAACTTTGTCTTTGATTGTCTTGTCTGTAAGGAAAATTATTTGTATACCTCTTCCTCGACGAAGAAAATCCTAAAGGGAGCAAACCCGGTGTCTAAACTTTTAAGTTGCTTGAGCATCACTGGAAGGTTTCAGGAAAGGTGCATGTGCTTGCGATGCTTAAGAACACTTTTTGTGTACACTTGGGGGATGGTATGCTTGCGACGCATGAATACTCCTTTACACTCGGTTGGGGGGGGGAAAGGGACCAAAATTTCTAAAATGACTACATGACCTCTCAACGTCTATTCCCTTCTCACGTTTGTTTATCACCGGAAGTTCGCTTAGCTGAATTCCCTGTGAACTAGTTCCAATCTCTCGATTTCAAAAACTACTTTACGTCTGCTATTTTCTTATCAAATAAAGTCATGTTTGCCTCACAAGGACAAGCTCAACTGCATTTGAGTACAAAGTTAGCTCACTTGCCTGTGACGTCTCGTGCGTCAAGGAAACAAAGCAGCAACTGTATGGCTAGAGCACTGTATTTTTCAAAGCTCACACGAAACAATTCCGTCCGTCACCCATTACATACCCCGGTTTTATTCCTAAAACTGAGAAAGCGCCAATGACAAAGTACTCGACCGAGTTTTAAGAGGAGATGAGGCATTATTTAGTGGACTTCAAAGTGAAGAACTGAACCTATAAATTTTTCCATGCAACGACAACTACGCTATTTTGACAAAACTGCAGAGGATCTTTCAAACTGAAGATCACAATTGACAAGGTAAATGCTTATACAAGTGTCGGAAAGATCAGAAATACTTAGTTGTACTGATTTCTAAGAGAAATACTACAGAACTTTAGTAGGAAAGGGCAAGAACGAGAATTTTGCTATGAAAAGAGGAACTGAAAATGTATCAAAGAAAATAATCTAATGCGAAGACTATTTAAACCTTCATGAAAACTAGAGGAAACGTCGTAACATAAATGAAAAAGACTTTTTTGGGAAAGGGCGGATCACGGATGATTCTTCAAAGAAATATTAATATCTTGAAAGGTAACCTAACATCCCTTTATGCCACTGGCTTCATGATTTTCTCATTTAAACACACCAAAACGGCCTACGAATTATGTGCGCACGGGATTAAGTGCGTCCAAGTGCAACATTAACTAATATAGGGAAATAAGCACCACCAGAACAATGTAAAAGCAGAGACAAAGATAAGTAGGAAATGAAAGAATATGGAGAATGAAGATCGCTCTTCTTTCGTAGGGATGACCTTCCTTCATAACAGACACATAGCATTTGTACCCACGTTACTACAAAACACTGACTGGTGGTTCAAGCTTGGAAAGATTGGGTTCCATAGCTACAAAAAAACAAGAAAAATAAGCGGCTATCTTAAAGAAGAGCGCCACCCGCGCAGAACTTGAAATACCCAATAACAGATTAAGAAGAATAGTGTATTATTTTTCCTTAGAAGTCTACAGTTAATGCGGACAAGAGGCTCAAAGAGCTGGGATGTCTAGAGGTTACATATAAAAAATAAGTCAATCAATCAATAGTTACGATTAATCTTAACGTGGAAAAAAAAATAAACAGCTGTTAGAATTACTACTCTGAGCTAACCATCTTACACTAGATGCGCTAGATAAAGGGAACTGCGCGTTGAGTTTCTTTTTTGCAGATTTTAAAAAGGGTTTTGATCTTATAGATCATCGAATCTTGCTTCGTAAGCTCTCAGGTTTTGGTTTACATCTCTCCTTGGTGAGGTGGGTAGCAGCCTTTTTACAAGACAGATTTCAGCGCGTCCACAGCTCGCAAATGTGTCGCCGGCTAGTAAATCCCCGAATGATGGAATTCCCCAGGGGACTAAGCTGAACCCCATTTTTTTTGCGGTTATGGTAGACGATCTGGTACGCTCTTGTGGTCCTAGAATTAAATACGTAGACGATCTAACAAAACTGGAGGTAATTCCTCGTAATTCCCCATCTGTAATGAAACATGTTGTAAATGACGTTAACAGCTTCGCTCATAGTAACAACATGCGGTTGAACAAGCTGATGGGGCTCTAATCTACAGTGCACCTGAAGCCCGCGCTTCAAATCAAACAGTCCAGGTTAGCTTAGATTAGTAATTCTAACAGCTGTTTATTTTTTTTTTTCACGTAAGTGCAAGCTGATGCGGGTCGATTTTTTGCGTTACAATAGTTGCTACAGTCGGCCAATACCGGTAGGAGGCTCTGTTCTTGAATCGGTAGAATCGTTCAAGGTCCTTGCGGTGAATATTTCTATGGACCTTAGTTGGTCGATTCATTGCGACTATAGAATAAAAAAAGTCGCCTCTATGCCCTTCGAAAACTGAAAGCTTCAGTGGGGTACAAGTTGGGGAGTTGGTGGCTATGTACTGCTCCCTGTTAAGATCTGTCCTAGAGTATGCATTGGTAGTTTTTGCAAACTTACCACAGTATCTCTGCTTGGCGATTGAAAGAGTACGAAAGAGAGCCTTGCGAATTATCATTGGTCCTGACTTTACCTAAGTGGACGCCCTCGCGCGTGCCGGGCTTCTGTCCCTAGAGGCCAGACGTCATCTGGCGTGCAAGAAATTTGTGGCGGACATTATGCACCGTTATGATAAAGCCCGCTTTATCCCCTAATTTCTAACAGGGTCATTTCGTCGCAAACTTCGTATTCGCTGAGGTCGGGACCATCATGTCATGTGCTACGTGGCCGAACTGACCGTTTCTCAGAGTTCGTATCAGTTAAATATGCTTCGTATATCAACAGTGTGTAGTTATGCGCATTCGTTTTCTGCTACATTGTTACTATACTATATTTATATCTTTATATTTATATAATTACACTTATTATATACATAACGAGATTTACGCGCCAAAAAGAATCGAGATAAAAATAGTCTGTTCACGCTAGAGGAGCCAGCTGATTGGTCATACGATTTATTTTTTCACTAATGAAAAACGACGTATCGACGCTCTGATTGGCTATATCATTATTTTCACTAGTGAACAAAACCGTGTCGTTCGCTCGCCGCTCCTCTTGACTGACAAATAGCACATTGCTTAGGCGTATTTTTCTTTAGAAAGATGGCTTCAAATTAGACTAAGCGTTCTCAGAGCCTAGATTCATCAGTAGAAGAGTTCATAGACGGACAGGAAAATGAAAACACCAAGAAAAAGACCAAACACGACGTCGCTCTGTTCTGACAAGCAACAAAAATATTAAGTCTCGGGTTTTCACTTCTTTATTTCAAATTTTGAACTTCCATAGAACTATTTCGACATATTTTCAGGATGTCTTAATTTATTCTTCCTAGTTCTGCCTTTTAACAGCATTTCGGCTTGATAATTTAGATGTAAAGAAGTATTTACAAGGAAGCCAATTCAGTGCAACTCCCGATCTAGAACGGTGGCTTGACCGCGCGTTGCTTTCCTTTGAAAGAAAATAAAGATATGTTTATCTCTGAGTTCTGTTCGCTTATGAATCTCGGTATGTATATAATAAATAAGTTATTTCACGGTTAGTTCGCTTGTAAGATTTTTATTCACTCGTTGTGTAAAACAAACTCACTCGCAACTTGTGAATAAAAATCGTACGCGCTCACCAACCGTGAAATAACCTATAAGTATACTTAGATAAATCATCGTATATTTGTATGTTTGTGAGTGTAGTGTCTGGCCCTACCAGTAATTCAGAGAGATCTGCAAATGGTGGAAATAAACAAATATAGTTATTGTTATTGTTATTGTAACGAACAAAGGAGTCTGGTCGTCGTTTGTTGCTCCATTAATGAACTGCAATAAACAAGGGTGTTGACATCTCGAGGCAATGTAATATCCATTTCTCGCTCAAACAACCTGCGGTTGTATAAAGGAGAAAGAATCACATAATATATTGTTTTTACGACAACGACAGAACCACAGAAGCTACGTTTGACAACCTCTCCCCATGCACCTCTACCAAGGATTCTGCCCGTCAGCTGAATTTGATAACGAGGAATCACCCAGTGTGCTGATCTTTGGGCCTCACTCTTTTCTGGGTCTTTTCTTGTCAGCTGTTCTTCTAGTTCGCCAACCCGTTGTGCCGTAACTCTTAATCGTTCTTGCAAAGCAGCAGTTGTACCGTCTTTCTCTCTGATCTGAACTTGAAGATTTCTTAGCTATTGATTCACTTTCCTTAACCGCAATTCCGAGTCAATTAAATGTTGTTCTTTTCTTTCCAGTTCTTCCTGCATGTTGGTCTTCAGCAACTCTTCATCTCGTAATTGATCTTGCATGTTCGTCAGCTGATGCATCACACGTAAGTTTACGTTTTGGCGATCGCTTTCAGTTGACACGTTGGCCTTCTCCAACTCGGTCTTCCTTAGTTGTGCTTGGGATTAGGTCATTTGCTCTCCCATTTCTCGCAGCTGTCTAATTTTCTCTTCTAGTTGTTGATTTTTTAAATTCAAGAGAGTTTGAAGGCTACGATTTTTCCATTCCTTCTCTAGCAGCTGGTTGTCTTTTTCCCTGAGCTGTTTCTGTAAGTTGGTTAAACGAGTTCTCATTTCCTGTATCTCCGTCTGGCTCAAGGGAAAAAAATTGACAAACTTTGTTTTACCTTAGGAAGTCAAGAAATACACCAAATTTACCACAACTCACCCACTAAAGACTTCCTTGTGGGAAAACAAATAATAAATACAGTAACCTGTCTAGTCTATAGCATGCAGTCGAAAAAATGCTGATGCCTTTGATGTATGGCGGCTCTAAGAAGAACCTCGACTGCCTGCAATAGCCTCTATCTTTGTTAAAGTAGTATGCCAACTGTTAACTCATTCCGGTGGCCAATTTACTATTTCAATTTAGTTGATATTTAACAATTGTTCCACGAGCGCGCGTTGGATATGAAATGATAGATAGCCAACGAGGCGCGTAGCGCCGAGTTGGCCATAATCATCTCATATCCAACAAGCGCGACTGGAATAATTGTTTTATTAAAAAAACGCCTCCAAGATATTAGACAAATCTTTTCGGCTTTATTTTGTAAAAAGAAGCCGGATGCTACAATGTGCAGATATTAGATTATGGTATATTGGCTCATATACCATAATAGCTAAGTCAATAAAAAGTCTTGAATTTCATTATCCAATGATCCAGTTTTTAATAAAACCTATTACCTTGTTAAACTTTCACTCTTTATTAGCTATAATATGCCAACCATTTG